AGGTTCCTCCTTCACACACAGGAAGGTTTCTCCTTCACACATGTAGGTTCCTCCTTCACACAGGTAGTTCCTCCTTCACACATGTAGGTTCCTCCTTCAGACAGGAAGGTTCCTCCTTCACACAGGTAGGTTCCTCCTTCACACACAGGAAGGTTTCTCCTTCACACATGTAGGTTTCTCCTTCACACATGTAGGTTCCTCCTTCAGACAGGCAGTTCCTCCTTCACACATGTAAGTTCCTCCTTCAGACAGGAAGGTTCCTCCTTCACACACAGGAAGGTTTCTCCTTCAGACAGGAAGGTTCCTCCTTCACACACAGGAAGGTTTCTCCTTCACACATGTAGGTTCCTCCTTCACACAGGTAGTTCCTCCTTCACACAGCAGGGGGCAGTGTTTCAGTCACACAGCAGTAAATCTGTCTCTGTCTCCGTCTGTCTCCATCTATGTATGTCTCTCTCTGTCTCTGTCTGATAATGATGATTTTTTACAATGCTAGTATTCTGTCTGTGTTAAGATATGGTATGTCCAACTGGTTTGGAAACCTGACTGTGAAATTTAAATCCCAAATTGCTAGGTTGATTAATATGGCAGGGAAGATAATGGGTGTGTCCACACCCCTGATCACTCCTCAAGCCATTTTTGAACAATCGGTGATGAGACACGCTCGTAAAATCGTGTCTGATCCTGACCATGTACTGAATCCTGAATATGAGTTATTGTATTTGGGAATAAGGTACAGAGTACCACGATGCAGGTATAACAGGTACAAAAACTTGTTTATTCCATTGTTGATCAAATTGATTAATGAGAAGTGTGTCTGATGTATGTATTATGTATTTAATTTGATGTACTGAGGTAACTGGGTGACTATGTGTTGTGATGTGTGTATTTTTATGTTGGTGACTATATGTTGATTGTACGTATGTGTATGCTGACCCCTAGCTCCAAGTCAAATTTCTCTAAGGAGACCAATAAATGAACTGAACTGAACTGTCTTTCTGTCTATTCGTCTGTCCGTGTGTCTGTCTGTTTGTCAGTCCGTCTGTCTGACTGTGCAGCTGTCTAACCATCTGTCTGTCTGTCTGACTGACTGTCTGTCTGTCTGTGTGTCCCCTGTGATAAATACACAACAGTCCCTAACACGACCAACATCACTTTACTGATCACAGTTTGTGTTTTTAATGTCTGAAGGTTATAAAGTTAAAAGTGTCCCCCATCATCTGGACTGTCTAGCTGTTTCTCAATATGCGTTCTTGTGGACTTGTTCTTGTGTGGACTTGTGTTCTTGTGGACTTGTTCTTGTGCGGACTTGTGTTCCTGTGGACTTGTCACACGTTATCAGTCACAGCCCAAGTACTGTTCCAATTCAAAGTTCACATCTGGCCACTGGGGATGCATCGGAGCAGACTTGTGTGGACTTCAGACAGCCAGGTATCCCAGCATGCATTTCGCAACAATCATCGGAAAATGACAAGTGAGGGAAAGGCGCACAATTGTAAGCCATAATTAGCCATACCGATATGTTACTGTTGTTTTGTCACAGAACGTAGTGTTTTCATGCGTAGTTTAAACGTCAGACCCGTGGTCGATGTTTTAATATAGAGCCCAGTTGAACGTGACTGAGGTCCGCTAGATGACAGTGGTGTCAGCACTCATGTGTTTATGAGCGCTGACACCACTGTCATTTAGCGGTGTCAGCGCACATAGATAATAAACGTGTGTATGAGCGCTCAGCCTGCCCCAGAGAGCAGCCTCGTGGCTGATATCTCTGTAGTGGTTAAATATGAAATGTAATTCGTTTGGGGAATGTCTAATGGGCAACATTCAGTCTCACTATATAAGATATATTCTTATATTATTAAATGTGGTAACATGTTATTGTTCTTTGCATTCTTCTGCTTATTTATGCGTTTTTACCATTCAATAATGATTTTAAGAATTTATTGTAATTTATTTATTGTATTTAAAGATTAATTGTCTTTATTGTAGTATTTATTCAACAGCATTTTAAATATTGATTATCTGATATGAATTGTATACCTGCATGATGTCTGAAGTGTGGCTGAATAAACTTTTCCTCTGAACATCTGACCTGTTTGATCCATTTATATTGGTGAGGACAGACTAAATGACAAACTGCTGTCAGTGTAATCCAGTACAGTTCAACAGCACCACAATCTACAACTCAATACTTCAATAAAATGTCAGACTGAATATTAAACTGCTGTTGTTTTTTCTAGGTGTACCAAGTAAACTGTCACGTCTCCATAAAAATGTAGACAGAAAGCATAATGATGAGACAAATGCAGTGATGGACAGTGACTATATTTACTTAAGTAGCTACTGTAGGCTACTTAAGTACAAATTTGATGTACTTGTACTTTGGGTATTTCCATTTACTGAGAGGGAAATACTGTGCATATCTTTTCAGATAGTTTGTTTTATATGTTGTTGTTTCATATTTACAAGTTGCTGTGTGTTGTTATAGATCAGACTAGTGCACCAGTGACAGCTGTTAAAATTAGTTCTACCATGACAACATTTAAATGCTGCTCACATGTAGCCTATGTGTAAATTGATTAATTAATACTCAATACATATTCATGGATATGATGATCATAACACTTGAAATTGGGTCACTTTGCATCATGAGTACTTTTAACTTTAATTTTAAGTAGTCCTACATTTTGCTGACAATACCCAGATATTTTTACTCAAATCAGATTTGGTATGCAGCACTTTGACTTGTGACTGAGTTTTTGTTCTTTGTTGTGATATTCCTGGGTACTTTGTCCACAACTGGACAAACATATCGAACAGACATGCAAGCATCGCACGTCTCATCCTCATTCTTCGCTGTCTTTCTGGGATCTGCCTTCTCAGCTGGGCAGCCTCCTCCTCAGCTGCAGCCTCCTCCTAAGCCTGCAGGTACAGCAGTCCTGCTGCAATAACTGCGCCAAGACGCCTTCTCCGATCCGTTATTGATTTTTGATTTCCATCTCGCCAATGCTCACGATCACAATAACCACCAACTCTCCACGAACTTTCCCCCCGCACTTGACTTTTGATTATAATCAGAAGCCAGCTGCGGGAAAAATGTTTTAAAAGACATTTTATGAAAATATTTTGGCTATTTATATGTTTTTGTGTGTCAGTTATATATGTTGAAATGTTAAAAACATATAGATAGTAATTTCTTACAATGACAATGAAAAGCCGCAGGGCTGTGTTTATATTGTTTTATTCTAAATGCATGTATACAACACAGTACAACAGCCGAGGCAAGCGGAGGTGGTGACATCATCAAGTTCGCTGCTGTTCCAAAAGCAGAAATGACTGTACTCCCATCCTCCCGTTCTTGGGAAGTCCGGACTCTCGCGTGGACTTGCCAAGTCCGAACTTGCCAAGTCCACAAGTCCGAACTGCCGAACTTGAGTACTGAGAAACGGCTTGTCTGTGTATATGAACGCTGGGTGTTCATTTTGAAAGGGTGTACCGGATGTGTTGTGACGTTTCATATGTGACTTGACGGTGCTCGTTGGAAAAGGCGTAGCTAGTAAACATCAGAGAACGGACACCACAACCTGAAAACACCGACTCATCACAGACCATCTTCGGGTCAAACGGAGCCTGTCGGTGTCGTCCGGTCTGCGGTAACCGTCCGTGGTTGTCACGGTAACTGACAGCGGCCAGAAAATCAACAACTGTCGGGGCGTTAGCCAGCTAGCTAGCTAGCATAGCCACCTAGCCGTAGCAGCAGCCGCAGCTAGCATTAGCATTAGCATTAGCATCGTCAGACGGTGAAGATGATAGCGCTCATTAACAAACTGCTGGACTGGTTCAAGGCGCTGTTCTGGAAGGAGGAGATGGAACTGACCCTGGTGGGGCTGCAGTACTCCGGGAAGACCACCTTCGTTAACGTCATAGCGGTGAGTCTCATCCGCTAGCTGTCCGTTAGCATCTGGCTGCTTCCATTGTCACCCTGCGGTGGAGGAGGTGGTGGTGGTGGTGGAGGTGAGGTCAGCGAGCCGTCGGTGTCCCATAGTCTGTCCCTGAGAGGACACACTGTGAGACATCAGCCCTCTGATGTCCTGATGAGACATCAGTCTGAATACAGCTGCTGTCACATCTGCACTAGATGATGCTCCTCCACTTCCACCTCCACCCAGCAGGACGGGCTTCTGTCAGAGTGGAGGCCGTTCAGGGACCTGGACCCCCCAGCAAGGCCGGAGATGGAGGTTTCAAGTGTGGTGTCAGAGTGACCTCCTCTGTCTCAGGTGTCACATCAGACTCACCTGTCCTCCACCTCTGCTCCACCTGTAATGTTCAGGTGACCCACTGACACAGATGTCTTTACTCTTCAGTGTGTTTATGAACTGAGATGGTTATAACTTAAATAAAACACACACACCTCAGATATAAACTGTGGACTGAACCTGAGTGTGTGTCTTCAACAACCACTGAGTGTGATGATGTCATTAGATCAGGTCATTACATCAAACTTAATATCTGCAGTGTTAAATGAATCTGGACGTGGTCACATGGTCGGTCTTTACAGATGTTAGATGCAGCGTTGCAGTGAACTCCGTGTTTATTCTGGGACAGATGGGTAATGACACATAACCATCTGGACACGTCCACAGGAAGTGACATGTCCACCACGTGATGTCATGTGACCCGGAAAGACTTCATTTTTAAGTATCAACCTGGAGAGTCCAAGACAATCCCTGTAATTTCTCTGATGTCCACTAGAGGCTGGCCTCTGAATCCGTCCCCACAGACCTCCATGTCCACTGAGTCCGTCCCCACAGACCTCCATGTCCTCTGAGTCCGTCCGCACAGACCTCCCTGTCCTCTGAGTCCGTCCCCACAGACCTCCATGTCCACTGAGTCCGTCCCCACAGACCTCCATGTCCTCTGAGTCCATCCGCACAGACCTCCCTGTCCTCTGAATCCGTCCCCACAGACCTCCATGTCCACTGAGTCCATCCCCACAGACCTCCATGTCCTCTGAGTCCATCCCCACAGACCTCCATGTCCTCTGAGTCCGTCCGCACAGACCTCCCTGTCCTCTGAGTCCGTCCCCACAGACCTCCATATCCACTGAGTCCGATCCCACAGACCTCCACGTCCACTGAGTCTGTCCCCACAGATGTCCATGTCTTCTGAGTCCATCCCCACAGACCTCCACGTCCTCTGAGTCCATCCCCACAGACATCCATGTCCTCTGAGTCCATCCCCACAGACCTCTGAGTCCATCCCCACAGACCTCCATGTCCTCTGAGTCCATCCCCACAGACTTCCATGTCCTCTGAGTCCATCCCCACAGACATCCATGTCCTCTGAATCCGTCCCCACAGACCTCCATGTCCACATGTTTACAGCTCACATTTTTCACATTTTATGACATCATTAAGGGGGCGTGGCATCTTCGACCATCAGGTTATCTGCTGACAGGCTCCACCCCTCCCTCCTCCACAGCTCCACCCTCTCACCCAAATATGGTCACTGTTTGGTCCAAGAAAACAAGATGGCAGCTTTCAGGCTTTGATTGATGTGGATAGGGATCGGAATTGATAGGATTTTATTGATATCAATGCCATTATTGATTCTGCTTATCGATCCGATTCTTTATCGATTCCCTTATCGATTCCTCCTGTGAATTTTCTATGTAGAAAAAGTAGACCTTACAGGTTTTTGGTGTCAACAACATAAATTTTATTGAGTTTCTATTCTAAACAAGAGATAAGTGCTAAGTAAGTATGTAAACAAAATATGAAATTGGTCCACTACTATCATCTAAAATGGAACAAATGAAAGAATATTTGTTCAGCATTTGTTTTCATCTACGTCAAATAACATTACATAATCTGTTAGTGTTGTAACTGAACCAAAATTGGGACCCACGGTACGATACCAGTGAAAGTATCACGGTTCTGAGTAGTATCACGATACCACAGCAAAAATTAGGCAGATGTGCCTTTTGTCATTTATAAAAAGATAAATCACTTTTCTATAATACATCAATGATATTTCAATGGAATAAATTACTTCTTGAAAAAAATTAAATTACTTATTGACTTATTCATACTTCAAAAACAGTATCATTAAGTGATTAACATATGGGGGATCAAAACAAAATAAATAAATAAAATAAAAATCAACCACCCACCCTCCTCCCCTGACAAGTAAAGAACAGTCCCTTAATTGCGGTGAGGTTTGTGGAAATGTGAACAGCTCGTTTCTCCTCTGAGACTTCACAAACCTGTGTGCCGCCACGGCTCGGCTGTCCAGGTACTTTTGGGCAGTCATGACACCAAGAAGACGAAATTACTGGACCTGGAGCCGGGCTTCTCAGTCGCTGGTAAGCCGTTATCTTGCACCGCAGAGCACTATGGCCGCTGTATTTGACATTAATACGTATTCATGTCCCTGTCTGTGTCTGTGACCCCCGTTCAACCCACAACCGGCAGGATTTGCCTTTCGTTTCTGCTGCTGGTTGAAATCTGTACTCGCACAGCGTGCTGAATGATTTAATTTGCTCGCACAAAACTATTTTTAGTCACAAATGTGAGTAACGTTAAAATGCTCGCACAGTAGAGCCCTGTAGTGGAAAACAAATCACTGTAGCATTGGTGATGTGTCCGCCCTTGCATGTAATTACCGTGCTGTATAAATTGCACGTCATGCTGTTGTGATGAGTGAATGTCATGAGTCTTTTTTGGTGAAGTGAAGCCAAGCTTTCGACCGCTTCTGTCTCTCCACCATTACGTCTTCTTTGTTGTTGAACATACTGCTGACTGACGAGCATGACGTGCATCATCGACATAAAGATTCGGCGTAATGAAAAGAATCAATAAGGGAATCGTTAAGCATAAAGGCTAATGATGTCGATGAATTGAACCAGTTGGAACCGGTTCTTAACAGGAACAGGTTCTCGATTCCCATCCCTAGATGTGAATCATTTGGAACGTGTTTTAAGAGTTGAACGATTTAATCATTTAATTCACGTTCAGGTCAGGGGCATGCTAAACAGGAAGTAGCTGCTTAGTCAGTAGAAGTCTGCTCTGTGGGCGGAGCCATGCTCAAGCAGCGCTGATCATACCCGTTATCTGTCACCACAGTGAACTAGGCTCTGCCCCCAATGCTGTGTCCAGGTCTCTTTATACATCCATGGTCCAGGTCCTTTGGTATGTCTACACTGACAGTACACGTCCCCTGTCTGAGGATACGCAGACAGGTCCAGGTCCTGATCATGTCTGAGGACACACAGACTGGTCCAGGTCCTGATCATGTCTGAGGACACGCAGACCAGTTCAGGTCCTGATCATGTCTGAGGACACACAGACCGCTCCAGGACCTGATCAGTGACGATGTGTCTCTGTGTCTTTCAGTCTGGACAGTTCAGTGAAGACATGATTCCAACAGTCGGATTCAACATGAGGAAAATCACCAAGGGCAACGTCACCATCAAGGTGTGTACTTCTGAATGCACACAGACACACACACACACACACACATGTGATTGAGATGTTGAATGTTGTCATGAAGATGTGATTTCTGATAAAGAAATATTAAACAGTGTGAAAGTGTTTGTGCCAACACAGAACTCAGACAGTGAACACATATCTGTATATATACAGTCTGTAAAGGTCAGAGTGTTCCCAGTATACCCAGTGTATCCAGTGTACCAAGTGTACCTGGTGTACCCAATATACCTAGTGTACCAAGTGTACTCATTATAGCCGGTGTACCCAGTGTACCCAATATACCCAGTATTCCCTTGTTCCCAGTATACCCAGTGTACTCATTGTACTCAGTTTACCCCGTGTGCCACTGTCAGGTTTTAACTGAAAATAAGCTGTCTCCTTTTTATTAATTTGGATTTTGTCCTCTCTGACTCTGTCCTCTCTCTGTCCTCTCTGACTGTGTCCTGTCTGACTGTGTCCTGTCTGACTGTGTCCTGTCTGACTGTGTCCTCTCTTTGTCCTGTCTGACTGTGCCCTGTCTGACTGTGTCATCTCTCTGTCCTGTCTG